TCCATCCGGGTCCCCAAGTTCTATTGTTATTCATTGAAAACATATGCTCTGTTTCCACCTTGTCAATCCCTCTAAGTATTTTATACGTCTGTGGCACGTCCCCCTTTCCCTCCTCCTTTCTAACGTCGTCAGGTTTAGTTCCTTCAGTCTGTCTTCGTACCTCATCCCTCACAGCTCTGGGACGAGTCTCGTTGCAAACTTCTGCACCTTTTCGAGCTTCCTTATGTGTTTTTTAAGATGGGGGCTCCACGATGGGGCGGCATACTCTAAGACTGGCCTCACATAGGCGGTATACAGTGATCTAAAAGCCTCCTTATTCAGGTTTCCGAAGGGTGATCTGACTTTTGCCAGAGGTATGCGGCGGACGTTCTTCTATTCATATAAGCATCTGGAGTTAGGTTTGGTGTTATGTCCCCTCCCAGTTTTTTTTTTCCAGCCGTTAGAGGGAGGTAGTTCCCTTCATCGTATGACTTTTGACTTTTCGGTCTCCTGGCTCCTGTTCCCATTTCCATCACCTTGCACATGCTAGTGTTGAACTCTAGCAGCAATTTCTTGGACCATCTCTGCAACCTGTTCAAGTCATCCTGGAGAATCTTACAGTCCTCATCTGTCTCAACCCTCCTCATTAGTTCTGCATCATCTGCAAACATTGGCATAAAAGACTCGACTCCTGCAGTCAAGTCATTTACATAAATCAGGAATAGTATGGGGTCCCAGGATCGATCCTTGAGGCACCCCGCTTGTTACTCTACGCCGGTCCTACTCCTCACACCTCACTGTCATTCTTTGACACCTGTCTGTCAGGTAATTCCTTACCCGTGATAGTGCGTCTCCGTCTAATCCCGCCTGCCTCTCAAGTTTGTATAATAGCCTTCTGTGTGATACTGTATCAAAGGCTTTTTTGTCAGTCCAGAAATATGCAATCTGCCCATCCTTCTCTATCTTGCCTTATTTTCGTTTCCTTATCATAAAACTCACGGAGATTCGTCAGGCATGATTTCCCTGCTCTAATACCGTGTTGTTGTTTACTTACAAACCTAATTCTTTCTCGCTGTGCAACTAGTCTTACCCTTATAATTTTTTCAAATACTTTGCAAGGGATGCTTGTGAGCGACACCGGTCTTAAGTGCCTCTTCTCTATCTCTTTTCTTGTAGATTGGCACCGTATATACCTTCTTCCAGCAGCTGGGCAATTTCCCTTGTGTAAGTGACTCATTATAGATTAGTACCAGAGGTATGCTGAGGGCCTGGGCTGCTTCTGTTAACACCCATGGTGATGTGTGTGTGTGTGTGTGTGTGTGTGTGTGTGTGTGTGTGTGTGTGTGTGTGTGTGTGTGTGTGTGTGTGTGTGTGTGTGTGTGTGTGTGTGTGTGTTGTGGTGTGTGTGTGTGTGTGTGTGTGTGTGTGTGTGTGTGTGTGTGTGTGGTGTGTGTGTGTGTGTGTGTGTGTGTGTGTGTGTGTGTGTGTGTGTGTATGTGTGTGTGTGTGTGTGTGTGTGTGTGTGTGTGTGTGTGTGTGTGTGTGTGTGTGTGTGTGTGTGTGTGTGTGTGTGTGTGTGTGTGTGTGTGTGTGTGTGTGTGTGTGTGTGTGTGTTTGTGTGTGTGTGTTTGTGTGTGTGTGTGTGTGTGTTTGTGTGTGTATGTGTGTGTGTGTGTGTGTGTATGTATGTTTGTGACTAATTATTGTTTATTTCCATCTTCAGCCAGTGGCGGCCTGCGTTCATACCTTCTTCAAAAAGTAACCATTAATCTGCATGTGTCTTCTCTTATTTCTCTTCAACATAACTTCTCCAAATTGTTATACATTTTTTTTCAGCTATTACTTCCCATACTTCCCTGTCGTCTCTTCTTCCCATTCTTTTCCAACCGCTCTTCACACGTACAGGAGTTATTCTATCTTCTGATCTCATCTCATCTCTCTTGTCCTGTGTATTAACTCAAGAGTGATTCTCCTCACTCTCTTAACTGCCCGCCTCTCATCCAGGAAGATACGACCTCTTACTCTTTCCCTTCTTTCTCACATTACTAAAGGCCTTTCTGACTCACTTTCTGTCTCCTCCATATCTCTCTCTGTCTCTCTCTCTGTCTCTCTCTTCCCCTCTCTCTGTCTCTCTCTTCCCCTCTCTCTCTCTCTCTCTCTCTCTGCTGTAGTGCAGCTTTTATGTCCAAACAGACCCTGTAGTTAGTATTCCCAACAGAATAGCTCGGTATAAACTGTTTTTCCATGTTCTCTCATTCTCCTTTCCTCCCTCCCTCCCCCACTCTATAAATCCCTCCCCCTCTTTCCCACCTCTTTCTCCCTCTCTCACTCCCAACCCTCTCCCTCTCCCACTCTCCATCCTTCCCCTTCCCCCAAGAACCCCGTGAGACAGCTTCACAAACTTTCTCCCAACCAACCAGCCATCGGTTCCTTTGTCTTAAATCTGGCCTGCTTGGTGTGTCGCCTAATTTCTGTCGGGGACATTTTTCCGGCGCGCGCGCAAGTTTTATTGTTCCCGATAAAGAACATCGCCGAGTATCTGAATGAACAACACCCTCCCCCCTCCCTCCTGCTTGCCTTTCCCCTCCCTGCCCTTCCTTCTCTCTCCCTCCCTCTCTCTCTCTCTCTCTCTCCCTTCCTCTTAACAGGCATCGATTTCACATTGCGGGCGAACGCAAAGAGCTCAAAATGCCACTTAAGCTCAATGTCTGCTCATCAATTAATTAAATGGGGGACATTAGCATATTAGATCCTACTGTGTCAGGCAGCCATTCATCTTGTGTAGAAAATGGGTCTGAAGTATTTTGAAGAGAGGATGAGGGGGTGGGGGGAGGGGGTGGGGGAGGTGGTGGAAGAGGAAGAGGCTGGGAAGGAAGAGGAGGAGGAGGAGATTCGGGTTTGCTCCGAGTGTTTGTTTGGGGGATGTGAACTTGGAGCCCCAAATGTCCTGCTTTGTTTTCCTCGTTCAGACCTCCCGAAAGATGCTTTCTTCTTTCTCATTATTCTTGTTGCCGGCGACGGGCTCTGACGGGCCTTGTGTTCCCCCTCGCAAGTTATTGCCTGCCCCCCTCTGCTTGCTTGCTTGCTTGCTTGGTTGCTTGCTTGGTTGGTTGCTTGCTTGCTTGCTTGCCTGCTTACTTCCTTGGTTGCTTGCCTGCTTACTTCCTTGGTTGCTTGCTTGCTTGCCTGCTTACTTCCTTGGTTGCTTGTTTGCTTGCTTGGTTGGTTGCTTGCTTGCTTGCTTGCTTGCTAGTTGGCTCTTCACACCACCTGTAATTGCCTAGGGAATGTTGGCCTACTTGGTCACCGGTCTTAGCGTTCTCTTTCATGGAATGCTAACAAGCTGATGAGGTGTTCTGATTGCCTCTAACGTTCTTCACAAGGTAATGAGGTGTTCTGATTGCCTCTAACGTTCTTCACAAGGTAATGAGGTGTTCTGATTGCCTCTAACGTTCTTCACAAGGTAATGAGGTGTTCTGATTGCCTCTAACGTTCTTCACAAGGTAATGAGGCGTTCTGATTGCCTCTAACGTTCTTCACAAGCTGATGAGGTGTTCTGATTTCCTCTAACGTTCTTCACAAGGTAATGAGGCGTTCTGATTGCCTCTAACGTTCTTCACAAGGTAATGAGGCGTTCTGATTGCCTCTAACGTTCTTCACAAGGTAATGAGGCGTTCTGATTGCCTCTAACGTTCTTCACAAGGTAATGATGCGTTCTGATTGCCTCTAACGTTCTTCACAAGGTAATGAGGCGTTCTGATTGCCTCTAACGTTCTTCACAAGGTAATGAGGCGTTCTGATTGCCTCTAACGTTCTTCACAAGGTAATGATGCGTTCTGATTGCCTCTAACGTTCTTCACAAGGTAATGAGGCGTTCTGATTGCCTCTAACGTTCTTCACAAGGTAATGATGCGTTCTGATTGCCTCTAACGTTCTTCACAAGGTAATGAGGCGTTCTGATTGCCTCTAACGTTCTTCACAAGGTAATGAGGCGTTCTGATTTCCTCTAACGTTCTTCACAAGGTAATGAGGCGTTCTGATTGCCTCTAACGTTCTTCACAAGGTAATGAGGCGTTCTGATTGCCTCTAACGTTCTTCACAAGGTAATGAGGCGTTCTGATTGCCTCTAACGTTCTTCACAAGGTAATGATGCGTTCTGATTGCCTCTAACGTTCTTCACAAGGTAATGAGGCGTTCTGATTGCCTCTAACGTTCTTCACAAGGTAATGAGGCGTTCTGATTTCCTCTAACATTCTTCACAAGGTAATGAGGCGTTCTGATTGCCTCTAACGTTCTTCACAAGGTAATGAGGCGTTCTGATTGCCTCTAACGTTCTTCACAAGGTAATGAGGCGTTCTGATTGCCTGTAACGTTCTTCACAAGGTAAAAATACTTGATGCTTGTCTTCTACGTCCATTTCTTTAAGTTTTAAAATGTGTTTTTAGCTATATTTAACTTTGCTGCTTTGTGGACCAAGTTCTTTAGAGAGTGCATGTGTTATATGCGATGGGTTATCAAACGTGCTGTGTTTTGCGGCATATTATCAAAGCATATATTACAGTGGACTGGTTGGTATAGCGACGGCCTCACTTCTTGCAGGGTCGGCGTTCGAGTGTTGCACGGGTCAGAAGTTTGCAGGTGCAGCTGCAATGGTTTTAAATATAATGCAAATTTCGAAGATCAGTGCACACACATACTGTCGTCGCCATGCTGCCCTTCTCTGTTGTCAAACTGCCCTTCTCTGTTGTCAAACTGCCCTTCTCTGTTGTCAAACTGCCCTTCTCTGTTGTCAAACTGCCCTTCTCTGTTGTCAAACTGCCCTTCTCTGTTGTCAAACTGCCCTTCTCAGTTGTCAAACTGCCCTTCTCTGTTGTCAAACTGCCCTTCTCAGTTGTCAAACTGCCCTTCTCTGTTGTCAAACTGCCCTTCTCTATTGTCAAACTGTCCTTCTCAGTTGTCAAACTGCCCTTCTCTGTTGTCAAACTGCCCTTCTCAGTTGCCAAACTGCCCTTCTCAATTGTCTAACTGCCCTTCTCAGTTGCCAAACTGCCCTTCTCAGTTGTCAAACTGCCCTTCTCAGTTGTCAAACTGCCCTTCTCAGTTGTCAAACTGCCCTTCTCTGTTGTCAAACTGCCCTTCTCTGTTGTCAAACTGCCCTTCTCAGTTGCCAAACTGCCCTTTTCAGTTGTCAAACTGCCCTTCTCAATTGTCAAACTGCCTTTCGCTGTTGTCAAACTGCCTTTCTCTGTTGTCAAACTGCCCTTCTCAGTTGTCAAACTGCCCTTCTCAGTTGTCAAACTGCCCTTCTCAGTTGTCAAACTGCCCTTCTCTGTTGTCAAACTGCCCTTCTCAGTTGCCAAACTGCCCTTCTCAGTTGTCAAACTGCCCTTCTCAATTGTCAAACTGCCTTTCGCTGTTGTCAAACTGCCTTTCTCTGTTGTCAAACTGCCCTTCTCAGTTGCCAAACTGCCCTTCTCAATTGTCAAACTGCCCTCCTTCTCAGTTGTCAAACTGCCCTTCTCTGTTGTCAAACTGCCCTTCTCAGTTGCCAAACTGCCCTTCTCAATTGTCTAACTGCCCTTCTCAGTTGCCAAACTGCCCTTCTCAGTTGTCAAACTGCCCTTCTCAGTTGTCAAACTGCCCTTCTCAGTTGTCAAACTGCCCTTCTCTGTTGTCAAACTGCCCTTCTCTGTTGTCAAACTGCCCTTCTCAGTTGCCAAACTGCCCTTTTCAGTTGTCAAACTGCCCTTCTCAATTGTCAAACTGCCTTTCGCTGTTGTCAAACTGCCTTTCTCTGTTGTCAAACTGCCCTTCTCTGTTGTCAAACTGCCCTTCTCAGTTGTCAAACTGCCCTTCTCAGTTGTCAAACTGCCCTTCTCTGTTGTCAAACTGCCCTTCTCAGTTGCCAAACTGCCCTTCTCAGTTGTCAAACTGCCCTTCTCAATTGTCAAACTGCCTTTCGCTGTTGTCAAACTGCCTTTCTCTGTTGTCAAACTGCCCTTCTCAGTTGCCAAACTGCCCTTCTCAATTGTCAAACTGCCCTCCTTCTCAGTTGCCAAACTGCCCTTCTCAGTTGCTAAACTGCCCTTCTCAGTTGCTAAACTGCCCTTGTCAGTTGCTAAACTGCCCTTCTCAGTTGCTAAACTGCCCTACTCAGTTGCTAAACTGCCCTTCTCAGTTGCCAAACTGCCCTTCTCAGTTGCCAAACTGCCCTTCTCAGTTGTCAAACTGCCCTTCTCAGTCTCCATCCCTTCATACTCATTCACGAAACAAACCTTTGTTAGCGAAATTGTAACTTTCACACAACAAACCTCACTTTCCTACCGCCGACCCTCTCTTTTTCAATCGCCAGGTCACCCCACCCCCCTTTCAAACACCCTTTTCGTCTGCCAAACCATCTTTTTCAAGCATTCCAAATCATGCTGAGGAATAGGGGTGTCCTCCTCATCAATGTGTTGCCAACAGCGTCTCCGATCTGACCCTTTTCTTACTGGAGGTGAGTCAGGACTGCTGGGTGACGGCTGGAACGTGGCAACACTGCCTGGTATCCACCCTCGATATCGTCCACCCACGATATCGTCCACGCACGATATCGTCCACGCACGATATCGTCCACCCACGATATAATCCATGCACGATATTGTCCACCCCACGATGTCGTCCACCCACGAGGTCGTCCACCCACGATATCGTCCACCCACGATATCGTCCACGCACGATATCGTCCACGCACGATATCGTCCACGCACGATATCGTCCACCCACGATGTCGTCCACCCACGATATCGTAAACCCACCATATCGTCCACGCACGATATCGTCCACCCCACGATGTCGTCCACCCACGATATCGTCCACCCACGATATCGTCCACCCACGATATCGTCCACGCACGATATCGTCCACGCACGATATCGTCCACGCACGATATCGTCCACCCACGATGTCGTCCACCCACGATATCGTCCACCCACGATATCGTCCACGCACGATATCGTCCACCCCCGATATCGTCCACCCACGATATCGTCCACCCACGATATCGTCCACGCCCGATATCGTCCACCCTCGATATCGTCCACGCACGATATCGTCTACCCACGATATCGTCCACCCTCGATATCGTCCACCCACGATATAGTCCACGCACGATATCGTCCACCCACGATATCGTCCACCCACGATATCGTCCACCCACGATATCGTCCACCCACGATATCGTCCACCCACGATATCGTCCACCCACGATATCTTTCCACCCACGATATCGCACTTCAAAATAGGTAAACTTATTAGTAATTTATGCCCCTCTTTGACAGTTATACACACAGATATTATTATTCATAAAGACAGTAATTCACGATGTTAATATTTCTTATGGCGCTCTTCACTCGAGAAGGAAGCTGAAATATGACATCTTGTTAAGTGCATTTTTACAAGTTTCATGCGACCTGATGCGTTTCCTTGAACCTGTCAACATTTTCAAGGGTTGAAGCGGATGCAAAAATGAGAATAAAGATTGGGAAATAAAAGGAAATATTCTCCGGGAAGGTTTGATTGGTCAAGTGGGAAGAGAAGAAGAATTGTGAGAGGAAACATGTGTTTAGTTTGAGGGAGCTCGGGCGTAACCCAACTTTGCATGATATATAGTCAGTGTATGTTTTTATTGAGGGGATTAGTTTATGTGTATGTGGGTTGTGGAGGTGAGGCGTGTATTGTGGTGAAGAGATTGTGTTTATTTTAGGGTCGTCTTAAGTGTGTGATTTGAGGAAGGTAGTGTGTGGTGTTTATGGTGTGTGTTGAAGGTCTTGTGTGTTTGTCGGCTAGGGTGTTTTAGCATGCAGGCGATGAGTCACAATAACGTGGCTGAAGTATGTTGACCAGACCACACACTAGAAATTGAAGGGACGACGACGTTTCGGTCCGTCCTGGACCATTCTCAAGTCGATTGCTTTAGCATGTATTGAGTGTTTTACTGTATTAAACAATACATGTTTTAGCATGTATTGAGTGTTTTTCCTCTTTGATGGAGGCTTTCACCGGTGATGTTGTCTTGACAGGTGAAACACCCGCCATCTTAGTTTTGCTTTGTGTACTGTTTGGTTTGTTTAGGTGCTTGGGAGAGTGGAAGTGGTACGCAGGTGATGATTTTTTTGTGTTTGCAGGGATATTCCTGCGCGGGCCCTAAGCCTCTGGCTGGCCCACTGCGCGGGCCCTAAGCCTCTGGCTGGCCCACTGCGCGGGCCCTAAGCCTCTGGCTGGCCCACTAAGTGTTGCTTGTTTCTGTTTTACTTGGGCGGAGTATGAGTATTTATGACTCGTATGGTCGCTTCAGTAAGATTTTGTCCCACGTGTTTAACAACTTCTTCCGCTCTGTTGAATCTAAGTTGAAATCTTAATGGGTTTGTAACTGTGCACTGTGTTAGATAATGTTCCAGTGGTCTTGTGTGGTTGTAACTGTGCACTGTGTTAGATAATGTTCCAGTGGTCTGTTGTGGTTGTAACTGTGCACTGTATTAGATAATGTGGTCCAGTATGGTCTGTCGGGCATTTGATGAGTGTTTGTGTTTTGTATAAATGTATCTTGGTGCGTGTTTGTGCATGTCTCAGTCTGTACAGTTGATGAAGTGATTTCTGTGCGATGGTGTGTGTGTTTTCAAGTAATTTGTGTGTGTGTATTTTTAAGTCTTTGTTAAGTTTTAGTCCAAGTGCTGTTGTTGTTGTTGTTGGTGAGAAGTGGGTGTGGGAGATCGTGATTAAACTGTGTTATCGGTGTTTGTTCTAAAATCAAAATCAAATCAAATGTTTATTTAGGTAAAGTACATACATACAAAGGGTGATACAGCTTTTGATGAATTTTTAGATAGAGCTAGTACATACAATGCCTAAAGCCACTATTACGCAAAGCGTTTTGGGCAGCAGATATTAGATGTTAGATGCAGATGTTATAGAATTATGTGGTTGTTGCCTTTGTTGGATACGCCAATTATATGCACATTGTGTGATTGGGTCGATTTCCTCTTGTGCTGAACGAGTCTACTTTATTGCAACTTCTATAATGAGTTGAGTGACGTCGTCCGTCTAACCATATTGTCAACGAGCTGGTACCTGTGGCGTCTGGAATTGAATTGAACTATCAGGGGGGAAAGCGCCAAGCCATTACGACTATATAGCACTTGGAAGTGATCAGGATAAGGATTTGGGATGGGGGGGGGGAGGTAAAGGAATGGTACTCAACCCCTTGGGCGGTCGGGGATTGAACGCTGACCTGCATGAAGCGAGACCGTCGCTCTACCGTCCAGTCCAAGTGGTTGGGTGTGGCGTCTGGAGATGTCGTCTGGGTGTACTGGTGTAGGAGGTGGGGGGTCAGTACAGTCTTGAGGGGACTTCAGCGTGTCGAGTGAAGATTTAAGAGGTCAGAGAGTCTTTGAAGGCATTTTATATTTTTATTTGCACTGCTCTGTTGCCGAGATAGTTATACAGACGTTTTCAAGTGGTAGGCGCACCATGAAAGTAGTTACATACTCTGTATTTGGGTCCATCAGGTCTGACCCTGTGTTGACAGTTTTTTCTTTGCCTTTTGTAATCATTGTTGATTTGATGCATTGTTTGTGGTTTGTGTGAATGTAGTTGATGATGATGACGAGGGCGTCTTGTGTGGATCGTTGTGGCCTGGGTTATCTTGAGTTATCCTGAAACAACCTGAGTTATCCTGGAACAAATCTGTGTTCCAGTCACTAGGTCATTGTTTTCTAGATGTTGTCCGAGTCTGTTAGTTTTCCTTATACCATCCCTAATGTATCTAGTAGGATGATTGGCCTCTAGTTTTTTTGGGGAGGCCAATATCTGGTTTTCCAGGTTTTGGGAGGAGAATGGTTGTGGCGGATTTGAAGAGACGTGAGAAGCAGCCAGAGGCGAGAGAGGCATTGTAGAAGATCAGTGAGAGAAGTGATTACAGAATCCTGTTCATAATAGCTTTACTTCAGCAGTAGTCAGCGGGGTATAGTTAGGTCTTGTGTTTTGGGTTCAATCTGCCGGGTACAAATTAGCTTTTAGGCGTAGTATATACTAGATGTATCTACAAATCCAATATTATGTCTGTAAACTCATTTTGTATGAATGTAATTTTACCTGAATAATAATAATAATAATTATTATTATTATTATTATTATTATTATTATTATTATTATTATTATTATTATTATAGCTGTGACAAACACACAAATGACCAAGACGGGTGAGGTAAAGAAGGGCGCAAGGGTCAATTAACCCTCTGCAGATTATTAAGTATATTTTGGTCTCTATGCTGAGGCAGTGTGAGCTGAATATTGTATTGGTCTTGAGGATAGAGAGAATGGGCATGGGTATGAGCTAGTTGCTTGGTGTGTAGTGCTTCGGTAATGAATAATCTTCAGTTGTCGTTACATGTGTCAACTATTTTGGCTGGTGTTTGTGAGGATATATACCTTTCCATAAAGACCAGAGTTTGGAACCTTTGTACCTGTTTAAAGTCATTATATAATCCTTTTGTATATTGTAACTAATTTTAAAAGTTAATATCCCTTTACAAGCAGGCTTACACCGCTGTTAATATTATTGTAACACAATCCATCATAATAAGGGACATAGTAGCCAAAATAGCATGTAACAAGGATGAAGTTGAATTAGGTATCCTCATCTCTGAGGATACCTAGTCATCTCTCATGACTATATTGGTCCAAACATTCAGGTCTGATAGGAGAGAAATTACTGACTCCCAATGACCTGAAAGCACCAGTATATAAAAAACTGTGTTTTGTTCGGATCCTAAATGTACGTATATGGGCAGCCCAAAACGTCGACCAGACTGTGCGACACAGTGGTTGCAAGGATCAGGTTGGGTTACCGTTACCTGTGGCAGGTGGCTACAGGTGACGGATCTCCCAATCCTGAGCACTCCAGTTGCAAACTCCAGGTGAGCAGGAACTGCGGCATGATCTCCCACACTACATCACCGAATGCCCAGTTATTAGACCATTCAGACCCCGTTGATACGAGGTACCTGGAGCTTTGTAATTGCTTTATTAACTCTTGTGTTGATGAGGATATCCTCACAATGCACCCAGAGGTAACAGGGCAGGACACACGGCCCTGAATGACTAACCATCATGCGAGCTGAACCTGAAATATCAATAAAAATATTAAAATAATGATGATTGTAATAATTTTTATACTAATATATGATAACCAAACCAAACATCAGAAGATGGAGAAGAGCCGACGTTCCGGTCCTTCCTGGACCGATATCAAGTCCTGTGATCAACTTGATAATATCATCATCTCAAAAAGTAATATTCTATTATTACATAAATCTAAGATATTATAATATCTTATAACTAAACTAGACGTTACTGCAAGAAATTTGTCGTACATTGTATAAAATAACATACAATCATGTTGAATCATTAGAAAGTGAGTTGGAAAAGAGAGTGAATGTGAGAGTGAATAAAAGTGAGATACAACACACACCAAGACAAAGCTTGACAGGACCGGGAAGGGAAGGGGGGGGGAGGGGAGGTTTAGATAACCAGGTCTTTCAGCGTGATCGGTAATTGATTAAGCTGGGATCAGTCCAGCTTTAGCGGAAACATCGTTAAGTGGCCGAGGAAGGGGGAGGTGAGAGGTGAAATGGGGGGGGGAGGTGATTAGAGAAGAGGAGGAGGAGGGGGGAGAGGAGATGGTGTTGATGGTGTGAGGAGAACTGCTTGAGAGAGAAAGTGAAGTGCAGAGGTGGAAAAGAAATTATGAGAATCTATATTCACCCATAAATCTATTCATCAATCCATCTACTCATCTATCAATGCATCTACTCATCATTCCATTACCTATCCATCTATCTATCTACGTCTTTTCCATTCCTTCCCCCTCGTCCTCCCTCCCACATCATCCTCTTCCCATTCTTTTCTTCGTCCACCCTTCGGGGAGCCGGTCGGCCGAGCGGACAGCACGCTGGACTTGTGATCCTGCGGTCCCGGGTTCGATCCCGGGCGCCGGCGAGAAACAATGGGTAGAGTTTCTTTCACCCTATGCTCCTGTTACTTAGCAGTTAAATAGGTACCTGGATGTTAGTCAGCTGTCACGGGCTGCTTCCTGGGGGTGGAGGCCTGGTCGAGGACCGGGCCGCGGGGACACTAAAATCCCCGAAATCATCTCAAGATAACCTCAAGATAACTCTTCCCCATCCCCACCTCTTCTCTCATCCCTTCACCGACTTAGCCATCACTTCCCCTTCATGAAATATAATATT